AAAAAAAAAAATGAGATCTCATAGGGGTGGAGGAGAACAGGAAAAAAAATCAAGTGTGCTGTATCATTTCTTTGTTTATATATTTTGTAATTATGCCGTGTTATTATTTTTATTAAATTAAAAAAGAAAGAATTGTTTTACATATACATGTGTTTATTAGGTTTCCACTTTTTGCCTTCACAAAATTAAAAAGGCTTAAAATTTAATAACAATAACAATGTTTAAGATAAGGACTAGAAACATTATTCAGCCATTAAAAAAAAAAAATGGAGATTTTGCAGCATTTGTACTAACCTGGATAGAGATGGAACACGCTATTCTTAGTGAAGCATCACAGGAATGGAGAAGTATGAATCCTATGTTTACATTTTTTAATCTAAACTTTATCTTGCACAGCTCTCCACAGTCTTTTCTGAAAGATCATAAAAACTTCAGCATGATAGTTATCTGCAGTTTAGTGATGTTAATGCCACGCTAAAAATTTTTCAGTGACCCATTAGGTTTTTATTTTTTCAATAAAGTTAGGTTCATTATACAGAATTCTTTCATGAAAAGTTCATACACTTCATGCAGACCTTGTATTGAAATGCATGTATTTTAAGGTTCTAATTATAGAGACATTTCTGGATTTAAGCTTACGTAAATATAGCTTAATATGTTGAGATTCTATCTGTAACACAGTTTTTAATTTTGAGACATATACAAAGAAATTATTTTGAAAGATGAAAGAAATTAGATTAAATTTCCATCTAAATTGGTTGTATACAAAGTATATGCAAATATAAATGTGCCTGCCACAAAACGTCTTAGAAAGGAGCACTTCATCTCAATAGAGATGAGCCAAAAAGATTATGAGTCTGTTTTAGAAAACTGTTTGATTCAAAATATTATTAAATCATATGGATAATATTAATAGAATTATTTTTGAAATTTTGAATCACTAGAACAATTGATTTTATTATAGAAATAATGAGAAGCATTAGTTAAAGTAGTGAATAAAGAATCTATGACATTTTTCCCCCAAGTCATTATGCAAACTGTAAATATAAATAAATTTAAGAAAAATTAGAGAAATGTTAATGAATAGTTCTATGGTATTTGCCCAGTACTTTATAAATTTATGTTTGTACCAGAAACCATCAGACTAATCAAATGTAGACATCTTAAGCAACTAGTAGAAACATACTCTAATTTCAAAATCAACTTTTGAATAAGGAAGCTTAAATTTGTAAATTTAAATTTAATTTCTCCAGTGTCACAGATATATAATGTTATTATTAGCTAACGGTGCTCACAACATATACATGTAAGTAAAATCTTGCTCAGTAAACTAACCAGTGTGTCTGTCCTTACTCAGATATGCCTCATATTCACCTCTGCCTTATTCCCAGGTCCCTCCTAGTAACAGATGACACTCTCTTGGCTCCCTACCATTTTTGCTGCCAGTGAAATCAAGGAAGTATATGTACATTGTTGGTAGCTAAGAATATATTCTTGGCAGCATAGCTATGAATAATCTGTAAGACACATATTCATAATTCAGAATTAACATTAAATCTTAAAACCTGCTTGTATTTTTGGACTTTATCAGAAATAGCAGTAATTTATTAACAATGAAGAAAAATGTATTTATTCCTTTCCTTAAATATTGTGTTAAAATAGACAACTAATATAATTGTAGTACATACTAGAAAAGGCAACAAAAGATTAGTCTTTCTAAATCTCTGATTTGACGTGATTATGAAACAAAAACCAAATCAGAAAATACCAGATATGTTAGTCCATAATTAAAATATTTGATGGAAAATTTGCTCTGATTTTCATTTGAAATTTTCCCTTCTAGGGTTATGCACGTATATCAATGTAATGAAATATCTAATTTTAGTGAACGATATTTTTCAAGTGACAGGCTTACAATGGGAGAATAACCCTTTGTAAATTGAACTTTTACATTCTCAGTCTAAACATTGAATTCATGTGCTTTTTGTTCTGTGATTTTCTTTATAAAATCAACGATTCAAGTAAATCCTCCAGAGATGCTTGAGAAAATGGAGTCAGAGCCAGTGATGAAACCCAAGCCTTTTCTTCACTCTCAGATCTCCTATCGCCGCAATCTCTAAACGTTGCCCTTACCAGCATTAACATTTACTCCCAAACAATTTACCCCAGTGAGGAAATAATTAAACATGTTTATATGCTAACGGAAGGAACTCGCAGCGAAGTGGAGGCTCTGATGCAGATGCAGGGATAATTGATTAAAAAAAATCCCTAAGGACAGAGGTAAGGATGGATTCCAGAGTCTACCGGATGAATTTGCCTTGCATTAGAGGAGGGATTCTTCCTCAGATACAGGAAAAAGATCCAGGAAGGAGGGTTTGAGTTGATGAGAGACATGATATCAAGGGAATTTATAGCTGATAGTCTCTCTTGTCTCCACAAAAATGTAAAACAGGGAGAATTTTAAATAGAAGGAGTAGGGTGAGTAGGGAGAATGTCTGACCACACAAATACACCAGATAAAAGCTCATTGAAAAGATGGTTGGTTGAGTAAACCAAATAGGAATATATGAAGGTGGTATAGCAATAACCTAAAGCTGACTGTATGAGGAAATGGTTAGTCTTCCTGCAGGATTACAAAGTGAAAGGGGGAATAGGTTCTTCTCTGTGGTTAGAAAACTGCTAACTCTCAAAACTGCCACATTTCCATTCTATAAAATAGTCTCCTTTATCTCACTAAGTATCATATTCCCCCACTCTGACCCAGCATCATAGTCTGAACTACAGCTAATGGTGTCTTTTGTTGCCTGCCTTTTCTAGTATATACTAGGTGCCACAGCCGACCTTGGCCTCCCCTAGTTTGTAAACATGTTTTTGTGCAAGTCAATTAACCGCATTTCCTGAGAGGAAGAATAGAACAAAACATATTTCTTTGTAATGCTATTCAATAATTTTCTTTGCAAATCCACTTACTGAAGTTTTGCAGAAGCAAGAAGCCATATAATGTATCCATTTGTTGGGAAACTGCATTACATTTTAACTACCTCTAGTGACCATATCTGTTGCTTTCTAAATGAGATTGATGTGATAGATTTACAGGTGTTTGAAGAAACACACAGGCTGGACCAGAAAAGAGTCTTCCTTTTTTTTTTAAGAAAACTCAGAATCCTACATATGTTTAATTGTCTCCAAAAGAGAATAAGAAAGAAGAAAAGACCATTATGTGCTTCCAACTGAAAACATTATTCCTTCATGTACAAAACAGCATATTTCAGTACAACAAAGAGCCTTACAGAACAGGACAGTTTTAATTGGTCGTCTAAGCTTAAACAGTTACAGCATTATGTTCACAGAATTGTTTTTCTTTTTAGGGACCTCTGGGACCTCCAGGACAAAAGGTAGTGTATAAAACACAATATTGTGAAAGTAATTATACTCTCAAGGCCTAATGGCAAGCAGGAGAGGTGACTGAAATTAGCTACTGTGAGCCATGCTGGTGTAGTTTGTCTGGTTTGTAATTCTGCTTTCTAAAAATACAGTCATATAATATAATGTGAGCTTTAGATTTCTAATTGACTCCATTATTGAAAATTCAGTAAGTCCATAGCTGAGTCTTTTTAAGTTGTCAGCTGAACCTGCAGGTTATTGAATTTTTAATTCAAATACTGGTAAAAACATTGTGATAAAATGTAAAATGTGAAGGATCACATGATAGCACAGATTGAGTGCATGGTCTTGCTCAAATACATAATTGGCAAACGGTCACAGAACTGACCAGAGCAGAGGATATACTCCTTGCTTGGTTCGCTGCATTCTAGTGGCCCCCTAGTATCTTTTGCTGAGGCAGCCTGAAAAGTGACTTCCCAATTGTCATTTCAATGTTATCCACAGTCACCAGAACTGACCTTGCCATTCTGATGGAGAAGACATAGAATTTCTGAAGTTACACCCACACTACGGCAGTAAATGTAACAATAGCAGATAGATGGCCCTTTGCCAACAAAATATTGTTAATGTCCCCCACCCCCAACCTCCCACCCCTCAAGGCCGGGGGAGGTAGGGAAGGGATCTTTAACCTGCACAAAACTAAACAAAAAAAAAAATTGTATTGTAACAGGTGGAAAAGTGATTATTCTTTATCTTTGAAATCCATCAAAGATAGAGACTTTTTTATCCCCCAAGCACCAGGCATGTGGCATCTGTTGAAACATAATCCTACAAACCAAGTAAAAGCCTACGAGTTGCGAGACAACTTGTGCACAGGAACACTTTGTCCTTCGCAATAATGTCTCTATTAAGCATGGTGTGAAATTGTAAAGCTATCCTAATCCACATACGACCAGGGTAAAATTACTGCTTCAGGCTTCGGGAAGTCCTTTAATGATCCACTCAGTGTAGTCACTGCATACATGAAGGAGCTTGCCATCTCAATTTATTTTGATTATAATTACTACTTTTTAGTAGACTATTTTTTAGAGTAGTTTTAGGTTTATAATTACTGTTTAAAAAATGCTTTCTCCCATTATTATTAAAGAAATTTAATATCATACATCTACTAAGAAAAATCTGTTTTCTAGTTCTAGACTAAGAATAAGCACATTGTATTTAAAAATGGTTTCTGCAGAGGCTGAATGGAGGGAAATGACATCACTATTTGAAAATATTTGCTAAGGTTTCTGTATCCAGTTAAATGTCATAGATTTTCTCAGGTAATAATGAGCTCTTATTCTCAGCTCACCCATCTGTGTCCAGCCATTCATACTCACTTCAGTGTGCATGTACACACACGCATCCGTGCACACTCATGTACCATAATGTTTTTATACAAACTTTGTGCTGTTCCTGGTCAGTGCAAAACATTCGTGACACTTTGTGAGTCTACTGTAGAAATGTCATACTCATGTGGCTTAAAATTACTCCCTGAAGTGTCCATGGGAAAAGTGCTGCAAATACAAGAAACTTGAGTTTTCAGCAACAGGTCCCTTATTTAATTGTAGAACAAGTAGTTATTTTAATTACCTTTTGTTTTATGGTATTAAACTCATAAAGTGTTTTTGCTACTGCTGGGCTTCTTCCAGGTGGACCCAAGCCTGTTTATTCTGAAAAGCACCAAAAGTGAGAGCCATATAGCCTTCTGATACATACGGATCTCAATTAATGTTATAAATTTCTTTAAAACCATATTATGGCTAAGTGGATGTTTAGAAATAAAGTTAAATTTCACCTTTGTGGTTTCTAAGGAAGCTTGAAGAATCTGTCTACATTATTATATATATTTGAACACAGTGGATAAGATCTGAAAAACATAACCTGTTAAACATGTTTTAGCAAAGTAAAGTTATGGCTAACATAGTTAATACAATATCAATTTAGAATTGAAATGTTTTGTAATTGTATCAGCTTAATTTAATCTTATATCTCCTGTCCCCTAGGGTTCTATTGGCGCACCTGGAATTCCAGGGATGAACGGGCAAAAGGTGAGCTCTACAGAATATCGTATTTTTTAAATATAACTTGGTGAACATTAAAAATCACAAAATTACTCTAGACTAAGTATATATGCTGTAAAAACACTAATGTACTTTTGAAATAGAAGAAAATTATGGTACAAATGATCAGGTTAGTTTAATTTTTAAAGATGCATTAAATAATCAGAAGTTATTTGAAAAATTTCTTTGCAAATATTTTGGATGTGTTACTTTTGATAAGTTATGTATGCCATACAACTAGACCTTTCTCATAAATATATACAGGATACGAAAAATGCTATGTTTATCATTCATTGTGATAAAATGTAGTACAGTTTCTTCTAAAACTAATATGTGTTGTTTCCTTGTTTAACAAAAGATATTCTCACAGAGGGGAACCCATTAAAACCTTCTGAGTCCAGAAGAAAGCTCTTTTTGCTGTTCAGCAAAATTGGGAGTTAAATAGACTTGCCAAAGTCTGATACTACACTTTGATTGTACTGTTCATAATGAAGGAGTACCCAAAGAAAAATGAATCATCATATAAAAATGATACCAGCACTTGTATGTTGATTGCAGCACTGTTCATAATCTCAAAGTCATGGAATCAATGTAGGTGTCCACCTACAGATGATTGGATAAAGAACATGTGTGTTATGCACACACAAACATACACATATACACTATGGAATACTACTTAGCTATAAACAAAGAATAAAACAATGTCCTCTGGCAGCATGGATGGAACGAGAGGCCATTATCCTAAGTCCTAAGTGAAATAACTCAGACATAGAAAGTCAAATGCCACATGTTCTCACTTATAAGTAGGAGCGAAACAGTGGGTGCACATGGATGCACCGAGTGGAATACTAGACTCTGGAGACTAAAAAAAGTGGGGGAGTGGAAAGGGACAAGGGATGAAAAATTACCTATTAGGTACAATGTTCACTAGTCAGGTGATCCCAGCCCTTACCAGTGCACAATATATCTGTGAAAAAAACTGCACTTGTAGCCCTGAAGTCTATAAAAATAATAAACAAATAATGAGGAGAAAAAACAAAGTGGAAAAAAAATCCCACACACATATCTGTGTGCATGTGTCCATTTCTCCTGCAGCATAGGACTGGTTGGACAAAGTATCTAACCTTATCCCACAGATGCATCTGTAGTCTGTGCTCCCAATATCCCTGCCTGGCTATTCCAAAGCCTTGTGGCAGTGGCAGCAAGCAAAGCCCTTCACTGGGCTAGTTTACTAGGAGCCAGGCAGCTGCACGAGGGACTTGCCTGCTCCCTCAGAGCTTTTTGGCCTGTGACCTGCCATCTTGTCTTCCCACAATATTTTAAATCCATGTGCTCTGAATCAAATACTGAAATCTTAAGTAGCTCAAACCTTGCAAACAGAATAAATCTCCTTTATCTTTTCCAACTTGTCCATTTTTTCTTTTCTGTTGATAAGACATAACCACAATTTTAAGCTTGGTAAGTGGCTAAAAGCCTAAGTCTGCCGCATCAAGGCCGTATGAAATTTGCCAAAGCCCTTGGAATTCCATAGCCTCTGTTTCCTCATCTGTACAGGGGAGACAATAGCAGCTTCTACCTGATAGAGTCAGTGTGAGGGTTAAATGAATAACTAGAGGTAAAGCCCTTCCAACAGTGTTAGATATCATTATTAAACTTTTCGTGTGCTTCATTTCAGTGAAATTCTAGAAATTGGGTTAATCTTTGCTTTGCAAGAGCTCTCTGTCTCAGAATTGCTCAGTCTCCACGTCAGATCAGTATTCTCAACAGAGGCTCACGGCGCCATGTAGTCCACGTACCACACACTGCACACGCCCCAGATGTCCCCCACCCACACTGCTGCTGCATCTGCCACTCACTGAAACGCATATCCACGTGTTTCACAAACCCTAAGACAGATGAGCTCTCTGCTTACTGCAGATGATGGGGGAAACAAGGAAACATAAGCCTAAATTTGAAAGTGTATTCATCCTAACACAGATTCGAAAATTACATAATGTAAGATAATATTTAGAAAAACCAAACAAATCTAGCATAAATGTTATCTGTAACACCAGTGAAAAATAAAACTTACATGCCTAAGGTTAATGTTTTTCTTTTTCTTCTTTGTTTCTTTTCATTTTTCAACAATCAGGAAAATTTATAGAAACCTTTAACCTGAAACAAAACAACTTTAAAACCGTCACATACCCTCTTCTGAAGACGGCATATTTTTTATTTTTGCAAAGGAAATATGCAATTTCCTTAGCAAGAGAAAGGAATGTGACATTTTCTTGTCCTAGTCACCAAGTTTAAATTATACTTCAAGAAAATAGACAGTCGATATTTGCAGTTTGATGTCTTGTTATACATCTTTGTGGCATTTTAAAAGTGTTTTCTATAAAACCTAGGGAAGCTAAATGATTTCACACTTTTATGAAGGTTTCAACAAAATGTTGTTTAAATTGTTTTTTCTACACCAGAGAACTGAACCTAAAACTTTGTGTATGCAACTTCTGTTAATCTTAGTCGTTATTTAACATCTGTAGTATTTTCTGTATCATTGATAGGGAAACAGAGTGCAAAAAGCATTAGTCTCCTTCACTGAGACAGCAGGTCATTTAGACAGTAAAGACAACATTGAAATAGAGTAATCATTTTATACTTAAAGCATAGGAAATGAGTCTTGAACTCTAGAATTTGTTTTTCTAAGAAGAGACTTTACAGTGATACAATATGCTTTTAAAAACACTATAATGTTCTAAAACTGTCTGAGAAAACATTTCTTCCACAGTACAATTTTACTTTTTCTAAAGATGTATTTTTGATACTTAAAAGATAGTTTTCAGATAGCGATTAAGGGAGGATATAATTTCTAAGCCCTCAGAATGAGGGCAAGTAACAAGTAGGAAGTAAAAAGTTCTTGGCCAGGCACGGTGGCTCACTCCTGTGATCCTAGCACTCTGGGAGGCTGAGGTGGGAGGACTGCTTGAGCTCAGAAGTTTGAGACCAGCCTGAGCAAAGAGCAGACTCCATCTCTACTAAAAACAGAGAAATTAGCCAGGCATCATGGAAACGCTTATAGTCTCAGCTACTCAGGAGACTGAGGCAGGAGGATTGTGTGAGCTCAGGACTTTGAGATTGGGTACTGTGAGCTATCCTGGTACCACAAGAGAGTGAGACTCTGTCTCAAAGAAAAAAAGAAGTGCTTCCTCTTCTGTTTAAAAAAAGAAAGAAATGCAAACTATTTTAAGAAAAAACTCTGTTTTCTACCAGTACATTTTCCATCCATTCAGAATGATGAAATGGTGATCAGCTTTAGCCTAGTAAACTTGCTGTGACTTTTTTTACCCTTCCTATCCTTTACATTTTGATCGCCTTGATTCCTAGGATGCATATTTTTATTTTTATGATGGTCTACCAGTTCTTCTGATTGTATTAGGAGAAAAGACTTACGTAAGCAGTGATATGCTTAAACTCCAGCCTCACTCCTTCTTGCATCACAGCCTACAAAGGGCTAAATATCCTGCTGTGACAAGAAGGAGGCAGTGTGGTAGGTACGGAGCAAACAGTGTGTTCTCCGCAGCAGAGAGGGAATGCTCCATGTCCTCATTTGGGCAAGTTTCTTAACCTTTCTGAGTTTCCAGTATGAAATATAGAGAAAGACTCTGCTTTATTAACTAGGCAATGTATCTAAAGAGAGTATCTGTAGTAGTCTAATAATATTATGCTTTAAGAGTTTCATCAAAGGAGCCCTAGTTTTAAGCTCAACCAGGGAACAGAAGCCACCTGAATTCATTAGAGGGAGAAAGTAAATATAAAAAATTAACTCAAGAAGGTAGAATATTTCTCTGTCCCCTGGATCTCCCTTCCACCCCTTCAGCCAGTATGGACTGAGTAGCTGGGATGTCAGCACTACAGATAGGGGAAAGAGAAAGACACCTCTCATATTATTTCCAAAGGCCCGTCACCAGTGGAGTAGTGGAGGAGCATTGTTCTAGCCTCTGAGTTCTTTGTTCTTTCATTTCCTGTGTAGCCTTTGAAGGGTCCCCTTTTTTCTTCTGGGCTTAAGAGTGCTTCATTTTTAAAATGAGAGAAAGGGCTTTACCAATTTATCGCTAAGTTTCTTAGAGTTACTGAGTCCACAAAAAGTCACTCTTGTTTCTAGTTCAAACAGCTTTTAGCATCCTCTGTTCCCTATTCTGGAAGCTGTTGTTTTCAGAATCTGGACTTGCTTTCACCAGCCAAAGAAGTTGGGGCAGGTTTAATGCAAAATCTTACCTAAAAATAGAAATGTTACCTCTTCTTCTCTAATTCTATTTGAAACAAACATAATTTTGTGACTGTTATGAATTGAATTTGTTGATTTCAAGGTATAAATAACATTTTGCTCGTGCTCCATGATTCATTCCTCCTGCCGTACTCCCAGACAGACAGACACACACACACGTGCACATATATTGAGAGATGTATATTTAAATATTTGTCACTCTAGTGAAGTGCAGACTATTTAAAACAATTTTGTTATAGAACTATTTTTTAAACCGAAGAATTCTTTAGCAAAATTGCTGTCTACAATTTTTGTGTGTTTATATGTAAGTTCTTTAACTATCTGAATTCTTAGTAAATTCTGTTACAACCTGTGTATATTTTGATGTTTCTTGGCATCTATAAGATTAAGATAAGCATTTATTTGAGCAATAATTAGTGCTCAGCACTGCACAGATGCCACTAAAGAGGAGAGGTGGGGATGAAGAGTGCATAAGAGTAATTTATGCAGCTCTTAGTCCACGTCCTTGTCTCTTTATAACTATAAAAATAATGTTAAAAGATGTTCAAGATTAAAACAAATGATTTTGTCTATGCAAGTTCAAATTTTTCTAAGGCCCCAGAGACCTGGGGTTTCTTTCCAAAGCAAAAGATAAATATCGGATGATCTTGTTTCATGTATTTTTCAAGTGCTTTCTAGAATTTATTACTATTTTTAAACTTCAAAATGTAACATAAAATAA